GTGAACTCGCGCGACATTCTCACGCGATTGCACCCTTAGACGACGCGTAACGAAAGACGGCACTCTGCCGCTCGTGAAACTCGGACGACGTGGGTGACGAACGAACAGAACCCCGTGCAATCTCCCCCTCCCCCTACCTCGTGCACCCGACTACTTAGGACTTGAAAAAACGGCGATTTTGTATCCTGAGAGGGAAAATCGCGGGTGAGTTTCGAGAAATGGCCGGTCCCCGGCGGATCCGTCGAGAGACGTCGTCCTTTCTCTCCGCTTCTTCCTCTCTCACTCACTCCCCTCTCTCTCTCTCTCTCTCTCTCTTTCTCTTTCCGTGGTGGAAATTGAGCGATGCATTATACCCACTCGAAGCGGATAAAAATGCGGGGGATCAAGCGGCCGAATTGCGCGTCGGCTGATTGAAAGGCGCCCGGTGACGTTGCCGAAAGGCTCCCGGCGCGACGCAACGCTTTCCTTCTGCCGAAATATGAGGGCATAAATCCCCGCTACGACGCTGACCCCCAAATGGCCGCCATTAAGCACCCGAGATTTGCCCCATTTCGACTCGGAAGTATCGGGATCATGATCGAGCGGTCCTTTAATGCCTTCCTCACGAAAGAGCCGCCGAAGCCGTCGTTGATACCGACGCATCTACTTTTCCCGTGTACGCCCCCGATAATCTCGCGGTCTCCCCCGCCGTTGCCGCTCCGACGACGAAGGATCCACAGGGGTCGCAGGAGCATGTATCGCGACCGCGGTCACGCTGGAAACGGAGAGATGACTCTAAAGTTTTATTCGTGCAATGAAATCGTACAACAGAAGACAGCTTGTCGTAATTTCTTTTCGATCTCGAATAATTCTCTCTCTCTCTCTCTCTCTCTCTCTCTCTCGTCATTGTTTAATCTCATTCAATATTCATTCAAATCTCATTTATAAAACACGACGCATGTGTACGAGGCGTAATTGGATGCTAGCTACGATTTCTTGTTCTACGCGCACTCATGCGGACACACATACAGACGCACGCACACACACACACCATGCTGTTTCTTTATTATGAGCAGTCATGATATGTATATACGTAGCCACGACGTGTTCCTTCCGAGAAACATACACCTTCGGAGAAATATATATACCGAGTGAATAGGTTAAAAAGAGCCTTTACGACGACGACGACAACGACGATGACGGATGATCTCGTAGCTGTCTCTCACTGTCGCTCGTTCTCTCCCTGTCTTCCTTCCCCCTTCGTTCTCTTTGCCAAGGAGGCTCGTCGTAATTAACTTGAGTATCGGCCGCGCGGCGGGCGTCGGCTCGGTGACGTCGAAACGCGGCCACGCACTTGCACTTCGACGTGACCGGCGTCCAATTCGCGAAAGATCCGGAAGAATCGCGAGTCCATCCACGTAACATAAAATATAGTAAATCGGGCAGAGAGTAATGCCCGGCTCGTAAATAACATGACATATGTTCGTTGGAGGCACGGCTGGCATGCACGCGTAAATCTCCCGCCGCTTGGCCGCGATCGATCGATAAAACGCCGCTCGCTCGTCGGAGCGAGCGACGCGACCGCCAAGCCTCGCTCGCTCGCTCGCTCGCTCGTTCGTTCGCGCGATCGATCGATCATTCGCTCCTAATAAATCGCGCTGGTTCGCGCGAGCGCCTTAACGAGTGCATTAGCGGCCGGGACATTTTTTCCCTCGCCGCCGCGCTGTCAAATTTAATACGAGCGCGCGAACTTACTCGCGCACGCACGCGCCGCGCAAGGACAGCCGCTGATCCTTGATTATTATCCCCGCTGCTTCGGATTCCGTTTATTTATCGTCGGATCCGCAGCATCCACTCGCTCACTCGCTCGCGAGAGAACGAAAGAGAGAGAGAGAGAGAGAGAGAGAGAGAGAGAGAGAGAGAGAGAGAGAGAGAGAGAGAGACGATTCTGGCAGAGTGTGACGGCGCGGACAATCGCGAAATTATCAGGACACGGATATAAATGGCTTTCGCTCGATGAGACTGGAAAGCAGGGGTGATGAGCTTTCGGCTATTGTTACGACGAACTTTGCTTTCTGAGAGAGCGATTCGTATCGCTGTAGATGCTGTCGTGTCGCGTTGCGGAAAAATCGATTTCTAATTTGGCGTTTTATAACCGTTGGATACTTTTCCGGCATGTATACATGTGTGTGTGTGTGTGTGTGTGTGTGTGTGTGTGTGTGTGTGTGCATGTGTGTCTGCCTGCATATATCGCGTATGCGTATGCATACGTGCACTCTCTCTCTCTCTCTCTCTCTCTCTCTTGTGTTCCCCCTTTTTCCAAATTTCCAAAACTGCAAATTTTAAAAATGTTTTTCCATCAGCCTTTCGCGGCGCCTAAAAGCTTTGACAACTTTCACAAACAACGATATTTCCTGTTTTTTTAAATACGGCAACATGCGAATATGAGAGAGAAACCGTGCTATCAGATACATTTAGATTTATCGCGTCAATATCGCGAAATTTCCAAAGAGCCTAAATTTTTTTCAACTTTCAATTGCAAGCGCGGCACGCTATACGCGGAACGAAAAACGCATAAATATTTGCCTCCGCGGGATTAACGATCCTATCAAACAGAAATAAAATCGGCCGCTACTTCTGGCGCGCGAGACCGTGCGCGTGCGAGAGCGACACAAAGCGTAACATACTCGAGCACACGTCGAATTGTGAGGAAGATGCTCGTCTTTTTCCCGCTCGCTGTTGCACGGAAAATTGGATTCGGCTAAATTACGGCGAGATAATCGACGAGACGCTCTTCCCTTTCTCTCTTTCTCTCTCCCTCTCTCTCTCTCTCTCTCTCTCTCTCTCTCTCATTTTCTCCCTTTTTCACCCCTTGTCAGGTTCGCTTTAGGGAGTTTCGCCCGATTTTGCAATTACCGAAGAAATGAGGGTACAATTGCGTTTGGCTGCGACAAATCGCTATACACAGGATGGACGGGGAAAGTCGGGAGGAGAGAGGGCGGCAACCCCGGAAGCGCAATATCAAGTCCCACGTACGGTAATTCAGCATGATTACGGCGAAATCGTTTATTCGTCAAAAGATTGACGAGCATCGAAATGTTGCTAAAAAGCCAACGTATCCAAATTCCCGGAAGGTAGGCGCTAAAAAAAGAAGAAGAAGAAGAAAACGGAAAAACATAAAAAGAAAGAAAGATCGCAGAAGTGTAGCGATATTAACCAGAAAATAACATTAAAAAGAAAACTTCGCTGATGTAAAGAAGTTTCAAGCTCTCGAAAGTCCTTCATACTTTTCATTCGATTGAATATTCAGCAAGATGATAAAAGACCAGTTGACATTTAATTATGAGAGAGAACGAGGTGGTGGGGGGAGGGAGAGAGAGAGAGGAGTGAATGAGAGGCTCTTTATTTAATGGTTTATAGATTGAAAACAATTAGCGCCTCGACTCGCGCTAGAAAAATCGACGTTTCGCTCGTCGCCAATTCCGGGACACCCTGTATATTTATTATTATTCATTTGCCGCGTCTACAGTAAGCGTGCCCCTTAATATTCCGATTGGTGCCGCGTCGCGCGCACATTCGCATATCCGATAAACTTCAATAATTCCATAGCAAACGAATTCCGAAAATTCGACGGACGATTAAATAAATTTACATTTGACAAATCGCCGGATGAAACTTTATACAGCGCGCCGCGAAAGTATATAATCGCGTCGTCAATTATTTATCCCGTCGCGCATCCGATTGATTATTTATACTTTAATTCGTCATCGCTTTTGCCGCGGACTAATTAACGGTCCTGTTCGCGAGCGATGACGCTCGATTTGCGATTCAGCGAAATCAGGAGCTCCTAAATAATCCACGAGATGTGTCGCATCTCTCTTTATATCTCTCTCTCTCTCTCTCTCTCTCTCTCTCTGCGGAAAGTTGTCCGCCAAGAAATCGCACCGGTTCATCGCCGTTAAAAGCTTGTAATTAAAATTGACGAGCAGTAATCACGAGTTAACAAGGCACCGAAACCATCCCCTTTCGTTTCTCATCCGCCGATCCAACCCCCTGTGTTTTATACTAATAACGTCTGCAACACTCGATTGACGTTTCATTATACAAAAGAAAAATAGCGAGATAAAGCCTTCCGCGCAACTGTTACTGAATTAAGCCCCGACGCGATCTTAATTATACCGGATTATTTCCGTCCATTAAAGCTGATCACTGAAAAATCACAAAGAACCGCCCAAATTCATTATTAACTATCAGAAAACCGCTTAACGGCGCTTCAATCCCCCCGTTGTCACATCTTTCTCATCGTCACCTGTGTGAAAGAAGCTGGCGCGCGCCGATAAATTCTTCTATTAAGCGCATACGCATACGTAGATTGTCTCGAAGAACGATCGTGCGATGTTTCAATAGCGTATTCCACAGCTCGATTCGAGTCGAGGATTCTGATACGAAAGTTCAGAGGAAAGTTATCGTTTATCGCGACTGCGTGATTTTTTTTTAATACCGAACACTGTACATCTGCAATCGATCGTATTCGATTGGAATTCCGCTCGAGTACACTCCGCCCGATATTAACCGAAGAATATAATTTATTTTTATTCACTCGATTTTCGTTGGAATTCTAGCTGCTAGTGAAGTCGTCTTTTTCATTGGTTTTCAACTGGAAAAGCATCGAGTTACCTCCGCAACTTTAAATCGCGGAGGGGTCGCCCTTTTTTTTCCTGCCTCGCGAAGACGCGGAAATATGCGTCGCCGACACTCAAAGGATTATCGCGCGCTCCGGTGTATACTGACGAATTCAAATTTACACCGAACACTTTGCATGTACAGTCATGCGAATTGGAGCATGTTCCGTTCCGCGCAATCAATTGCCGGTATATTACCGCGATACGTTGCACGTGCAATTTCTGTATTAGATTATGCGCCCGTGCTGTGATTAATTGCGAGTCGCAATTGTACGAGCAATTATTGGCCCGCCGGAAAACAGGCAGAAACATAACGCGATCGCCGATAAATCGACTTACCTGCGAATCGCCGACTTCGGACATGCACGATCCACACGCACACTCTCGGTACCCGATCGATCGATCGATTGGCCGCGAGTCTCGATTCTGGAAATCAAGAGCAAGGACGACGCGCGATTAAATGCCATCCCCGTCGCAGGTCGAAGCTCACACGTCGCGACGACGCGTCGCTACGTTAATTATCAGGTCAAGGTGAAAAGTAGATGAGAGAGAGAGAGAGAGGGAGAGACAGAGGTAAGTAATATAATTATCAGTAAAATAGAGAGAGAGAGAGAGAGAGAGAGAGAGAGAGAGAGAGAGAGAGATAAGTAATATAATTATCAGTAAAATAGAGAGAGAGAGAGAGAGAGAGAGAGAGAAAAGAAAAGCGATGAGTGGAAGGCGTTCTCGATCGTCGTTGTGTCGTTTCGCAGCGCGGACGCGCGCACGATAATAAGAGTTACCCTTCTTTCATTTACGTTAGGTCGTTTAATCTCTGCCCAATTCTTTGTGTTAACAGTCGTAAAACGTTTCGCTTCCAAGTACTCGCCGCCCGACGTAAATCCTGCTCGTTAATTGCGCCGTGCGCTAGCGCGAGTAATTTCAACGCTCGCTCGTTCGTCCGCTCGCCCGCTCGCTCGTTCACATCCGGAAGCGGCCTGACGAAATAATATTCCGACTAAATGGCGGCTCGTGAATCCCCGGGTCCGAATGCGCGATAAAACCAATGCCGGCAACGTGTTTACAGTTTTACGAGGTGTCAGCGAAATGCGCGCCCGTTCGCGACATCATGAACTTATACGACGCCCTTAACCCTTGCCGCGGCGACCGGGATTATTAATTCGCTATCTTTTCGGCCATTTGCGGCGCTGCGCGCGTTCCGATTTTATTATTGTCACGCGACATCTCGAGAGCGAGTGGCAATTATAGTCCTCGCATGATAATCGCCGGTAACGCGATTGCAAGTGGCGAATAGAAAGGAACAGGGGAGAGAGAGAGAGAGAGAGAGAGAAGCATATATGTTACAGCCCAAGCGAGTACCATTTAAGAACTCTTTACCAGAAAAAAAAAAAGTATTCTATTTGCAAAATGATTTTTCCCATAATCTCATATTCTAAGCGAAGTCTTTTGCAGACAAAAAGGATTCCTCTTTCGATAAAGCGATCAAAGTGAAACATTCATCTAAAATTTATTAGATATTATTCTAACGGTTTTCCTCTCATCTCAAAAGGAGAGATTCCTCTTATCAATTAATTTTCCTCTTACATGAAGAGGAATATGTTGACTTGAACGTCGGCTCTTTTTGTTTCAGTCATGCTCTACCTCGAGACATGAATGAAAAAATAATCATATGCTCATAAGTCAGAATATTTGAAACGCTTTTTAAAAAAAGGCATGTGTGTTGCTGTAACATATAACGAAGATAATTTACTCATACGTGGTCAAATACAATTTATAATCTAGAAGTTGAATAAGAAGTTGAATAATATATTCTTTACGATTATGGTTATGATGGACATCTTTGTAGCTATATAAAGTTTATAACAAGACTGATTCTAAATTTATTTGTTATGATGATTTTATTTCATTTGTGCCTACTTATTGTAGAACTGGAGCCAGAAGTATATCTATATATTGTATAAGAGTAAAATCCTCTAAAATTTAGATGATTTCGCTTGTTCTGAAATTACTTTCTTTTTGGATGTCACAAAGAAAGAAGCATATACATGAATTTGAATTATCTGGAATAACATTACGAGGTACAAATCGCGATAGCGATTCCGCGGTAACAAAGTTTGGCAATCGTAGCTGACAGTTAATATTTGAGGCACGAAATTATACGTATCGCAATGTTGGATCAAAAGTACAAGCAGAAAGACAATTGAGTGCAGAACGATGCAAGAAAGACGGTTAACAGTCTCGGCCACAGGAGAGGAGAATTTTATGAGACGATAATTCGAACGAGCATCGAGTCGCCGAAGAGACGAATCTCTCCTCAGCATGAGAGAATTACAGCGCGCGGTAATAATCGCCGCGGTAATAATAGCGCGAAGGAGAAGAAGAGAGTAACGATCGGGGGGAGGCAGAAGAATCGCCCAGCGACGATTCGAATAAATATCGTCGAGGATATCGTCGCAGGAGGCGGCGGATCTCCCGGCCGGCCGGCGACGCCGTCCCGCGGAGATGGAACGTTAATTAATCAACGACGCGGTCGCTCGAAAGTTAATCAATCTCTACGGCGCGGCAGAGTGAGAACAAGCTGCTAGATCCGCTCCTAAACGCCCGCGTGAATTCGGCGCATAATCAGGCGAGACTCCCTCCTGCCTTCCCCCCTCGGCTACCGCTCTCGCGCCCCCCCCTCCCCCCGGCCCAGGTCAGGGCAAGTATCGGGCAAATTTTTCCGGCGCGCTCGCCGAGACACGGTAAAGCGCACGCCTCCGTGATCGCGTAATCGCATTGTTGAGCTATCGGCGTCACGATCGGCGTGTAATTAAGCCGCTAATTAGCTGAGTTAAACAGGCGATTAGTAGCAGCTGTTACATGACATCGGCACGTCTTGGGCAGTATTTGATGTCGCGAGGTTACGATCCCTCCCCCGCCTCCGCCGCCGTCGCCGCCGTTCCGGACGCTCCCTCGCCGGCCCTCGGTGACATTGCGCGTCTCCCCGGAGGCTCCCTGAGCGTCTGATTAACTCAGTATGAAATTATATCCCATCTTTGCGCCCTCCCTTAATACTTCGCCTACCTAGACTCACGTGGCGGCCGGGGCGACGCGACGGCAGCGAGAATCAAACGATTAAAACGCTTCGAGTCGCCGCGAGCGCGGAAATACGACCTCTCGGTGCTCGCGCGCGCGCGCGCGCGCGAGAGAGAGACAGATATATATAATCTCTTGAATTTCGTCATCCCGGAGAATAAAAGAGCCGCAACGCGACGACACCTTGCCGAAGATGCGACCAACTCGGCTAGTCTGCGCACGGTCGGCCCGAGTTTAAAAATCCGACGAGCCGGTGCGATTCAAAGGGCGAATTCGCGCGCTCGAATTAGGCGGTGACAAGGAGCTAAAAAAAGCGCCTCCCCTCCCCCCGATTCCGGGATTCTGCAGGCAGGAAGAAAGGAGGGAAGAAAGAAAGAGGAAGTCGGAAGCCGCGCGCTGATTAGATCATCCGTCATCTCGCGCAGGCTCCGTCATTTTCCGAAGTCACCCCCCCCCCGCCCTCTGGCCCGCGCGACATCAAATCCTCGGTGCTAGCCAGCCCTTCATCTCTCCTTTAACAGTTCACACCTCGGCTCAGCCTCTCGACCACGTCGGCTGCAAGGCGCTACAGCTGCAGCTGCAGTTCTCGCGTGCATCCGCAAGGGTGGGCGGCCGCGGCGAAGGGGGCGGCTGGAACGGCAGGGGGGACGAAGAGGATTGCACGAAGGATGGGTATGGCGCGGGATGACTGTGGGGAGCGGAGGCAGCGGATCGTACATACGCGGCCGGTGCATGCGGTAATGGCGGTACATACGGTGTACCAGTCAAACGCATACCGTATTGATTTTAATATCTGCGTTAGAAAATGGGAGGAGGGCAAGGTGGGCGGAGGGCGGGGAGGAGGGGAGAATGTGGCGGCGCCGGAGGAGGCAAGAGGAGGAGGAGATGCGGTGGTGAGTAAGAGAGAAAGGAAGAGCTGGAGAGGGAGAGAGAGAAAGAGAAGGGGGGGAGGGAGAGAGAAACAGAGAGAGAGTGAGAAACAGACGGAAGAGAAGGGAAGCGGGGAAAGAGGCGCTGCTTTCACGCGTCGTTAAGGCACCTGTGGCTGATGCACTACTTTTGCTGCATCGGCCTTGCTAAGTCGCGCATCGGCGCTTCTGGCATCTTTCTACTTTAATACGTCACTCTAATTCTCAAGCGGAAGCACCGTCACGACGTTGAGGCGCGCGTGAGAAAATCGAGGCTCGGAATTGTCATGGAAAGGCGCGCGTTCAACGTCCCGAGCTGCGCGCTCAGAACAAGGTCTGTTTATGGCCGGTCGTCGAGTGGGGAGCATGTGAAAGAAACGTGAGCAGTGTGCAAATTGACCAGCCACAGACGATTATCCTCCTTGGGATTCAAGGATAAATCAATTGTCTTTGATCGATTCCCCGGCGTTTTTCTCCATGTTCTCGTTGTCCCGGTCTTATATCTGAAGTGGCCCTAACTTCATTTTCAGATGCTGCGGAGATCGTTTTATTGGAAATTTCAGGCTACGCTTGAGAGTGAACTTACAGCGTGATTTTAATTATAAGATCGGACTATAAATACCAAGAGCAGAATATAACTATCGTTCAATTTTCCCCTGATTAAACCTCCCTTAGAAGAAGACGGAGTCTACGTCTCTATAAATATATGGATAGTCCGAGTTTATACATTTAAAATCGTCCTGAGCATATCTTCAAACGAATCACCAACTCCGTGACCAGTGACCCGATTCTGCTATGTCTTCGAGGCAATCTTAAACCTGAGGTCGGATTATGAATAGCGACTTCATCATCAGCTAAAGACTTACAGGCTTATTAACTTATCTTCGGAAATTTCAAAATCATCAAATTAACAAAAGTCAGGGCGCTGTTGTGATAATATATTCTTGGGACCAGGTACAGTAAAAAAAGTCTAGTACTACTTTTTTTCCGACAAACAGCGAGATATCGTAAGTTGAACATTGAAAATGTCAGCCAGTTTTCCTTAAATATCTGAAACAATATTAGGCAAGAAAAAGAATGCTTCAGATGTTCAAATTAATTGGTAGAAAGAGATGATGTAATAAAAAAGTGGAGTTTCCATTTGAGAAAAGTAATGATCAGTGAATATCTCGAAAGTGGCGTCATCTGTCAACAAAATGATACAGTTGTCTCATGTCCCCTTTGAAACCACACAACTTTTGTCTTATATATATTTTTCTCTAGAATGCTTCGTTTTCGAGGTATAAGTCTGTAACTCTTCAATTCTTTGACTGACTCGTCCGGTATATCGATTGCGCCTTCTCAAAAGATCCGAAGGGAAGATTGAGAGATAGCAGTACATCTCTTTTTACAGTCTTCACAGTCTCCTGCGGAGCACTCAGTCTATTTTTCTTTCGGAATGAA